TGCAGCAATACATTGTCAGCATAAATTGATATCACTAATATAAATAGATAAATACTAGATTGATATAAATAGCGTTTAGAAAATCAGACGTCACGTGGGATAGAACTAGAAACCTCCACATTAAACCCCTAATTTTAAACATATATAACTCTAAAGGAATAACATATTCAAATCACGACATTTCAATTTCAAATTGCGATTGAAATCATTATGTGTCACTTTTAATTTGTATGTAAAATTTAACACAGCCAGGACACCTAACAACTCAACGTTTCTCAACTAATGGCAATCTTAAGCGAATGAGAATTACTTGATGGATTGTTTATACCCGCATTAGTCTAGAAGTATAAATCAGTAACAGACTTTGCGACAGACGACCTTGGCCTGGTAGGGGGCGTAGTGGCAGCGCTACTTACATACTAACTTCACATTAATATACTGGCCACTGGTCGGACCAGAGGCCGCTTTCATTCATCCGTAATTACCCGCCATATTCCATTCCCGCGCTCCGCCTCGGAAAAGTGAGCTGAGGCAACTTTCTTGTTTAGGTTAAACCAAAAGGGCAACAACATTCGTTCTTTACCACACATTAGGTTGTTGCTACACTTCAATTGCTCGGATTTCCCGTGTGATTGAATTATTCGCACGTGTTTTAAGGCAAATATAAAATGGTTGAAACGGTTCAATTTGGAAATTTGTTGTATTTTAAAGTAGCACTTTTAAGTAAGTTTGATGAATGTATAGACAAAATTAATTTTTCTGGGTACGTTAACTATCCGCTCAGGTTTAAATTAGCACACGATACGAATATTAGCTGGCAGACATCGTAGATTAATTGTCCCTTTCCCAGTAATATTTAGTAAAAGGGCAAGTGTGTTTTGACTTAGGAGTAAAAGTTTAGGTTTAGTTAATATTTGAGGTGATATTTAGCTGCTCCAACTTCAGCATCTCAATTTGCCACTTTCATTTTTATCTGTTGCTCCATTATCCTCGTATCCGAGTTTACTTGTTTCCACCATTCCACCATCCGAAATCAAGAGTGAAAGTCAAAGGTGAATATTTGAATTATGTTTTGATTCAGTAGTAGGGTACAGCAATAACTGTATAGGTTACGGTCTTGTTGGTCTATGATGGATATTATTGCTATCCCTGAACTTTTGGCTTCAACACGTTGGATGATAAACTTTACGTTTACTGTGTGAATCGGCAGATAACTTGAATCATTCTCTAATTTGTAGTCTCGCATACCTTGGAATCTAGCTTAGAAGTTACATTAATCACACACTACGCCTTCGCTTGTGTACAGTGCAAGTAGTGCAACACTTTCTATGTGCTGCATTGATTATCGTTGCTACAATAGACTGGGACACATTTAATGAACAGCTTGTCATTGCTAAAATCATGATTGCCTAAATTTAAATCTGCACTTCTAGTCTAGATCAAAAGTCCCTCACTCTAATCACTAAACCATATCAACTAACCTTACTTATATGAAAATTATGTAATCACAGCAGCTTTGGATATATACAGTATCATTGAATTAACAATCTATTTAGGTCAATTTCAATAGAACTAATTGATTCCATCCAATTTACACCATTAAAATGTTTCTCACAATATTGAATTACGTAATTTAGAACGGAAGTTGGATCCCGCTAATTGGAGGGAACTAGACGCCGCTGCACATAGAGTTGCAAGTTCTTCCTCAATAGTACGTTACAAGACTACATTCCTCCATGTATGGCTCCACAGACCATGATGCAGCAGGAGCAATGCTTGTTGGATCTGTGGCCATAAACAGCCGTCGGAGCAGAAAGCTTGACGGGCCTGGCAATTATTGCCCGTGTTTAGGCAGGTCAGTCGGTGACGTCAGTGATATGGATAACAAGCACTTTCGTCTTCAGGATCTTATGCTGTGGTTATGTCAAGTATGGACACTGATTTTCAGAATGCTTTTGAAAAATCAGTTTGTGCATTACGACTAAGTAATTTTACAAAGCATAATTTTGTTTTAGTCTAGAGCTGAATAGAATCGAATATTTGTTTATTTTCTCTTTTCATTTCGGATACATAGTACACACAAACTATTGCATAATAAATTCACAGTAGTATAAAGATACAAAACAAATGGAATGAACTTGCCTACAGTGAATGTAAAAGTTTAGATAAGTATGCTATTTTCTATCCGTTGCGCTCACCAGGCTGACATATAATGAAAAATTGAGAATACTAAAATAAATAATCTAAAACAAAAAAAAATTCTGATATGTACAATGAACGCGACATACAAACCTTCACCACGTAGAGAAAATAAATAGGGTCTCTAAAGGCAAAGCCTGTAATTGAGGTTCCGTTAAATCACAGACAATAGACCATTATTTCTTTTGTCTATGGTTAAATATAAATTTTACATAAACAAAGAGCGTTCAGAAATATATAAATTCTGGAGATAACTAGATGAGGAATTAAAAACAGATGCGCATTATGGTATGACAAGTGTAAAATTTATCAAACGGTGCCTTGATGTTGCCCCAAAATATGCTAAATAATCTCATCATTGACGAGTATTATAAATAACCACTGTATTCATACAACAATTTCGCAACAGCTTTGAATAGTTTTTTTAAGGATTTGGTACATTTTACAATTTAAATCATTTTCATTTTATAAAAAGTTGTCCAACAACAGAATCCGTCATTGTTATATCCCCCTAGTCCACACGAAACTCTGCAGCAGAGAACTACTTAAAATAATTATTACAAATGACTATTATTTACATGCGTGTAACCGGTTTCACCGCCAAGGAGACACGAATCTCTGTATGAGAGGATTGGAGGAGATTCTCTACAAAGTAGCCCAGCTCCACCGCCAGGGGCCTCTGCTAATTGCGGGCCCCGTTCTCCGCCGGGCCCACATTAAATGCGTATTACTCCCTGATTTGCCACCATTACACGCTGGTGGTCACCAGTCAGATGTTGCAGTGAGTTCAACTTCTGCACACGCCGAGAAATCCGCGTTGATTATACAGACCGAGAAACGCCCGTGGAGAATCTGCAGAATTGGCATCTTCGGCCCTTCTTTAAAAGCGGCGTCGTTAAAATGATTGCGCTTGTTAGGGATTGAAATATGTAAATTGACTAAGGTTGGTGATCCTATCGTAACGATGGTTGCTTGAGTAGGGGAGTGTGTAAGTGAAGCAGGGGGAATTAAATATTGTAGGCGATAGGCGAATAATGATTATTCGGACAAACATTTGAAATTTGTAACAGGGTTGAAAGGCTTAAGTTTACAATAAATACTGTAGGCCTATGAGTTGTTATTTGTCTATATCTAAACTTTGAAATGTATTCAATTGCTAAAAGTAAATGGAATTTAGTAAACAACATTAATTTGTTGTTTCTGATTTATTAGTTTGTAAACTCATATCTTTGTTTCATTTACCTACTTATTTTCGCTTTAAACTAGCCTGGTGTTTTGGTGTTGTAGTTACTATAATATCATAAACCACCGTCAATATGTAGTTTGACTAATGAATGAAACAGTGGTACAAAGATGGTGACAATATACATTATAAAAAACTACTGAAAATAGCTTTGAGAAAGCCATCCATAATCAGCCCATTTTCGCCATTTATTTGACGCAACGATGAACTTTCTTCTGAGAGTTCACGTATTGTAGTTCGTCCTATGATTTCATAACATCAATAACTCGCTAAGCAAATGTGCTTCTCACCTCAGATAAGCAGCTTTCAACCTGTCAGACAGTCAGACGGTACAAAGATTCTCCCACAGACGTCTGCATCGTTGCGCATTCAAAGGTCGATATAAAGGTAATGTCACGGCACGACAATACCGTCGTCCTTGACTTTCTCTACTCATCTCATCTCGGCTTTCTCGGGCATCTATGAAAGTATAGATTGAGATTTCGCTGTACAGCGCAGCTACCTGGCTACTACTTGCGCCTGCCTCGCAATACTGCTACTTTCCCGCGCGCGGGCTTCGTGCTCCGCTCGCAGCACACTTTCCTTTCATATCCTGCATGTTAACATGTATCTTCGCTCTTCTATCCTGTTGCTAAGTGTATGCTTCCCTTCATTTATTGTTATTGTGATTTCTCTTAATCTGCTCGTTACCCTGATGTCACTTTAAAAAGCTGATGTGAATTAAGTCGTCTAAAATCTCTCAAAAATATCATTTCTGGGCTGTGAATACTTTTAGCATTTTATCCAATCAAAATTCAACTTTATTTCCTCAGAAAACTAGGTAAAGAAATTAAGTATTTCGTCTATTCATTTTTATCACTCTAATACATTTATCAAATATAGGATTAAATATCGCCTTCATTATTCACCATGAGAATGAAGAGATTGGAGGGACCTAAAGACCTTGAATTTTCCCGCCCACATAGACCTTGGCCCTGTGTGTGGAATGGAATGTACCAGCAAGCGAAGTAAGGACTGAGCGAATAAAGTACAAGAAAGAATTAACAATTACTACCTAGGAGGATTCTAGATTACTACTGGTTGCAGCACCAGAACGCCAAAGTATACACACAGTTGCTATGCTGCCCTGACCCTACAGTAAAACGTACCAAACTGGCAAATAAATGTTAGGATTAAAAAAGGGATATGATTTGGATATCACCTGTGGATGCTATTTTTAGAGTACAAGGTAAAGAGGGGTTGAATGTTATCTATCTATAACAATATTTTGTTTGCAAAATGGTCAATGAAAGTAAAATAATTATTGGAATAGAAAATAGTCATTCAAACTCAACAAAAATCCTTGCTCCTACTCCTTGTCCTTGTACTGATTATGACATTGTGGAATTGAATCCTGTCGTGTAAGTGAAAACGGTATCTGTGTTTATGAGTAAATTTTCTTACATAACAGTAGATAAACGGTTAGACGGTAGATAAACATAACTATAACCTATAGTTATAAGAAAAACAATAAAGATATTGCTAAACTGTATATAAACATTTTATTTTTCTGTTGCAGACAATGATCGGTGACGATGTGGGTTGAAGGGAGCGGCTGGATAGCGACGGGGGTGGGGGCGCCAGTAGTCGCCGTGTTCCTGTTATGGGGCGCCCTCGTCCTGCACTGCGACCGACGTCGGTGGCGTCCGCTAGACCCGCTGTTGGTGGCCCTCCTGCTACAGAGTGTGTTACACCAGGGTGGCGCCTGCCTCAGCACCCTCGTGTTGCTGTTCCGCCCCCAGGAAGAGCTGTGGTGCTCCGTGCTCGTTTGGTGGCTCGCTGCTGTTCGCGCTCTTCAAGCCTCTACTTTGACAACTCTCGCCACTGCCAGGTTGTTCCGAGTGCGCTACTCCCACCTAATCTATCACCTCGTGTGCCTCACCATGATCGCCGGGTGTATCGGCGTGGCCGCGGTGCTCGCCCGAGCTTCTCCCTGCGAGGATTCCCCCGACCGACGGTACGTCGTGTTCTCCGTCGCGCTTCACATCGCTCTCGCGTTCGCCTCCGTTGTAGGACTTATCTGTTGTTGTTGTAAGCCAAGTATTCCTCCGGAGACGTTTGTCAACAACTCCAGACATCGCAGAAGACTGCTGAACTCTTCCTCGGACCTCTCCTCGGCAATGTCGGATATCTCTGTTATATCCACGATGCGGTCGCGGAGTGGCAAGGGGGTGTCGCACAGCGTGAGTGACTGTAGTGCGAGAAGGATGAGACATTCGTTGGTAGAGGAGCTCCTCAGAGTTTCCCCGGTATCCTCGGGACAGAACCCTCCCATCACCTTCCTAAACGGTGCCCCGGACCCGACACGCCTCCTGCAGCGGAGCCCCTGCTGTGAGAGCCCTCCGGAGCTGCAGATCCCTTGCGCCGCTATCCTAGAGGAGACTAAGCTGATGTGTGACCTGGATGCTAGCAGTTATGGTGTATCCACCCTCCGTCAGGAACCTTGCTACATTTCAACCTCAACCTCCGCCTCCTCCACCAACTCCAGGTCTCCCTGCCTCGCTGCTGAGCGAATAGAGGACGTCAGTCTGTCTACCATCGTCGCGGTGCTGCTCCTCAGCTACTCAATAAACCACATACCCGTTCTGGTGAGTAGTTGTCTATGTTTATATTGTAAACTTTTGCAGTAGAGTTTTAGCTCATTTAAAGATATGAGCTTCCTACAATGTTCGAAATGTTCTTTAGCATCTCATGCGTTTTACCATTGAACACAAAGTAACCTGAAGTTCCAGAAGCCAATAGTATTTAATTTTCACGTTAAGACGTAGATTCTTTTCACTATTCGGTATATTGATGATAAGAGTATCCAATCACACAGTATCAATCACGGTTACCTCCCCTCGAATTTATGTGTCATACTATCTGGTTCTTAAACACCACAAAAATGTTCATATATATTTTAAATGCAAAACGTTAGTGACATCAGTAGGTACACTACAAGTTGAAGATTCATAAACAGACTACAACTATCGGACGAGTCAGTAGAGCGGAGAGACACGCAACATTGCAGCCTGGTTCACAGCACTCTCTCTCGCGACCTTGTTTCCCAACTTGTCATACGAATATTCCAAGGATCAATGTGAACTGGTGATTTAGTTTTGTTTGGATTCGTGATTATTATCAACATGTTAGATTTTATGTTTAACATTTTGCTGAACGTAATGATACGTAGTAGTTTGCTCCTGAAGTGGCTGAATAGTAGTACACTAACGTTACTCCAAGTTCGTGATATTGAGTTGGTGATTTAACCTAGCCATGTCATTAAAAAGTAGATCTCTAAAACCAATTCCTATCTCTTCTTCCTTGGATTCTGAATCTGAACAAATAAGCTTCGTCATACTCTAGGCGAAAAGAGTTACCAATTAAAGGATATAACAGTAATTCGCTCTTGAGGTACTTTATTTATTATCTTGCTCAAGGAGAAAGTCTTCTTAAAGCCTCCAAAAATCACAATTTCCTTCGAACGGCCCATCATCTTAGACCGAATTTCCCAGGTCTTCCTCTCGGAAACGTTATCAAAATCAAAACTTTTCTCTGGTACATCACACTTCATCGGAGGTAGGATGAACCTTCAACAGAAGAAAATAGCACTGCTCAACCGCCTGAGGTGGGAAGATGTCTTGGTGGTTGGAATAAAAGACCGTAGGCGAGCAGATTTGAAAGATGTCAATTATTGTCTTTTGATGGCTTTCCCATTAGGATTGGCCGTTATTAGCGAAATTATCTTCCTCTCAAAACTATTCAGTGGCTTACAAATGACTTAGCACATTTGCAAATTTCCTCTAAAATCGTTTTGTTTACCAAGCTGTCGTGCGTGTGAACATCGAGTCGGACACTTACACGATTATTATTGCGTAAGTGTAATGCTAAATCGTGAGAGTCCAAGTTGTGGAGAGTGGTTCATGGCAGGCATTAAAGACATTAAAGGTGAATCCCGATCGTACATTTCACGACCTCCGTTCCTCTATTCCTTCGTCCCGCTCCGTTCCAGCGTTCCCTTCTCTGTTTCGCCACACTCTGAGCTGGATCGAGTGACACTCACCGTAAACAGAGACCAACCATTGTTGCCAACGTAACAAGGCCAAATTCACAATACTCAATCTTTTATAACCTCGATTCCGTTCATTACAGTCTTTAGGTGTGAAAAGAATAGCTGGATCGTCCTTAGTACGAGGTGCGATCAAGGAGGCGGTGATGGGTTTGTTGTGATGTAGGTCTTTGACTGTTGAAGTTACAATAAAATGTAGATTGTAAGCGAAGGAGACGCACATTTAGAGCGGCTATGTTGAGTAATATCATTGACTTTATACCATAACATGTTACTATATACAGTTTATGGTATATAGTCAATGGTAATATGTAGGCTAACTACTGCACGTTGACAAAACAGACTTGCACATGTACACCGCCAGAGTTTCAGTAGTTATAGTATTGTTATAGTATTGTTATAGTTATCGTATTGTTTCGCAGTCAGTCACCATATTATAGTTAAAAAGATCGTCAACGAATACAATGAAATTAATTTTCGATACAAATTACTAAATAGGCATAATTTTTTTTTAAACGATTGTTTAAGATTGTTCTGGACGAATTTGCTGGGAATGGTATTCTTTATCAATACCCTGCTCTTGTCTCAATCGACTAGTGTAAACCATTCTAATTTACGCTATAAAATTTAAAATTCTTCTTCGATTTTGAAATTATTAAATTATTACAACTATGTTACCTAAATGACATTAGATTAAAAACCATTATTATTCAAACCCTGTCAAAAGCCATATCCTATAACACTGTCAAAATCCATATCCCACAACACTGTCAAAAGCCATATCCTAAAATACTGTTTAAAGTCATATCCTACAACACTGTTAAAAGCCATATCCCACAACACTGTCAAAAGCCATATCCCACAACACAGTCAAAAGCCATATCCCACAACACTGTCAAAAGCCATATCCCACAACACAGTCAAAAGCCATATCCCACAACACTGTCAAAAGCCATCCATATCCTACAACACTGTCAAAAGTCATATCCTACAACACAGTCAAAAGCCATATCCCACAACACTGTTAAAAGCCATATCCTACAACACTATCAAAAGCCATATCCTCCAACACTGTCAAAAGCCATATCCTACAACACAGTCAAAAGCCATATCCCACAACACTGTCAAAAGCCATATCCCACAACACAGTCAAAAGCCATATCCCACAACACTGTCAAAAGCCATCCATATCCTACAACACTGTCAAAAGTCATATCCCACAACACTGTCAAAAGCCATATCCCACAACACAGTCAAAAGCCATATCCCACAACACTGTCAAAAGCCATATCCTACAACACTGTCAAAAGCTATATCCTACAAAACTCTCAAAACCGTTGGACAAGTATAGAGAATTTGAGACAAATTTAAAAATTTTGATATAGTGATCAATTGTGCATTCCTTCTATAGTGTTCCTTCAAAAATTTGACAAACAAATTAACACAACAAAAATTTGACAATGGGCAATTTGACAATTTGACAAACAAATGATTTGATGTTTTACAAATAGTGATTTTTTTAAATCTGCTATAAACCAAAGAGACGATTTGGTGACAATTGGTTTCAATCAGTAAACAAAATTAAATATTATTGAATGATCCATTCAAATATCCAACAAAAAACTAGATGTGGACATTGCCGAATTGGGAGAGTCAAGTTACCAAATATAGAAGTCAATCTCACAGGCATCCGAAGCTGAGGCTGACCTTCACAATAACAACCGCTAATGCACACTTTTTTGCTTCAAGACGGAGCTTTGATATTTCAACGAGCGAGTGTTCGTTGCAGAAAATCTCACACAAAGCATTCGCACTTGCTCAGTTGAATTTAAGCGAATTTGCAATTAGAAATGACTACTATAGTTCGGCCGCTTAGAAAACGACCTGCGCGCTAATGCTAAACCAATGCTGGAGGAGGTCGCTTTCTAAGCGGCCGAACTATATACATAAAACTAATCTGCCATAGAATGTATAGAGAATGCTTGACGGTCCGAAAATTGTTATTCCGAAGAGTTCAAATAATTTATTTCAATTAATTCTGTGACTTGAATATATTGACTAATACATGAGCTCTGGTCTGCATTAAACAACTCTATGTTTTTAACAGAATAGTAGGCTTACTTTGCCGGAATACGTTGTAAAAAGCATGTTGAAAAGGCCTGCAAACATCAATAGGACAGTAGAATACCACCTATTATAAAGGGCAACTCTTTTAGTACCTATAATTTTTCCATATAACAAATTATTAATTTTAATTTTTACTATTTCACTGTGAAGGAAATTATAATACTTTTTTAGGAAAAACTACAATAGTTGCAAGAAGAAGAGATTTTCGCCCTTCCCCATAGGTAGATTAGTGATGAATGATCTTACAAGTGCAAAGTATACCGAGTCTATGGTGATAAACCATGAGATCTCTCTTGACAAGATCATTTGCGGTCCGTGCAATGCACAGTCTAGAATTTGTGGTATTAAAACTAGGCATGTCAACAACTGAGATGTTTTTGCACTTAAAGTAATTTTAGCTGACTGTAGTAAGTAACCACAATACTTACAATTAAGTCTACTTGTTAGTAATCCTAGTATGACAAGCCAAACTAAGTACTGCAGTTAAGTGTGCTTCTTGCTTCTCCTACAGTTCAACGACATAATGATTCCTTCCTTTGTACCCATTCCCTCAGTGCCACTACACTGTAATTATGTTTAGTTTTACCCGGTATGCTAACTAATCGCTCAAGGTTAGACGACACAATGTAATAACAATCTTACTTGACTTTGCTGATGTCCGGGATGTATATTTTTCATGCGTTGGTGTTTCCCTTGTTTGTGAAGAAGTAAAGTATACCTTGAAACTTTTACGTTTGAACTAATTATTGATGTAAAACACTTTTATAAGTTAGTATAAAATTTGAGTTGTTATGGAAATTGTTTTGACACATGATCAAAAACTAAAAAATACATTGTAAACACGTCTCCTAGTAACTATTGGCTACAACCCACGATTACTAGACAACCTTTCTGCAACACATGCACCATTCGCCATGCAGCGAGCAGCGACTCACCGAATCGCGAGTAGTGTGGATTTGTGTGGCATTTGGCAATCAGCAAATGCTCGTGCTCGTTTTTCCCGTTTATTGTCGATATTTTTGCACACATCAAGGTGAACGAATATTTTTGCTATTCCCCAAACGAACAGTTGCTCGTAAAACAACACATGTGTTCCCGTCTACTCGTTAGTCGGGAATTGCAAGAAGCAATTAAATAATAAAAAATATTGTGTGCTTTGCGAATGGCGCATATTGTCTGGAGCCATGCGCATGTCTTCAGTAAATCCAGCGGATTGCATTTATTATATTCCCACAGCGAAGAACACAGAGCTTAAAACATTGTGCGTCTAAAGTAAGCACCTTGTTTTGCAGTATTGAAATTAATTTGTATCTTAAATATATATGTGTCTTACTCGCCATTACGTTCAACTCCCCAACTCCAGTTTCAACATTCCCGCCACAATCTCCCGCGGAATCTGCAGGAACTCCTGGG